TCCCTGGTCAGGGAACTAGATCCCACATGCATGCTGCAACTAAGCGTTCACATGCCACAACTAAGGAGCCGGCAAGCTGCAACTAAGGAGCCTGCCTGCCACAACTAAGACCCAGTGCAACCAAATAAGTAAATAAATGAAAAGAGAAGAGGTCTGAGGATTGAGCCCTGGGGCTGTGGAAGAAATTGGAAGGATGAGGAGGAAGCAAAGGAGACTGAGGAGGGGCGGCCATTGTGGTAGGTAGAGAAGCTCCTGAGATTGAGCCTAGAAGCCCAGGGAACCACTGTGTCCAGTGCAGCTTACAGAGCCATCAAGATGAAGACTGAGAAGCAACTGTTGGATTTGGCAATGGTGAGGGCACTGGTGACCTTGACAAGAGTAAATCTCGTGGAGTGGTGGGGCAAGAGGGGGTTCAACAGAAAATGAGAGGAGACGAGGCGAAGACAGCAGGTATAGACAAATGTTTCTGAAGAGTTTTCAGTAAAGAGAAGCAGAAAAATGTAGCTGGAAGAGAATACGGGATTGAGGGAGGTTATTTTAAGATGGGAGACAGGATGATGAAAATGATCTCATAGAGAGCAAACTGATGATGCAGAGGGGATGTGGAGAACCACTGGGGCCCCATAGTAACACAGGTGAGAAGGGATGGGAACTAGTGCCCAGGAGGAGGGAGGGCTTCACCTGTGTAAGAACACTGGCATCGCATCAATGGTAACAGATGCGAATGTATGGAGACAGATGTAGGTAGGCGGAGGAAGCACGTGGAAATTCTCTTCAGACTGCTTCTATTTTCTTCATGAAGTTGGAAACAAGACCACCAGCAGAGGGAGGAGGAACAGGAGGGGCTGGAGGTTTGGAGGAGAGAGGAGGAAGTAAAAATAGCCGTCGAGGGGGCTGAGAGAGTGCACAGAACTGGGGAAAGGCAGGAGCATGGATGGTCAACACAAAGGGTGTTTGAGGGCATGAATTTAAGGGAGACCAGTCAGCCTAGGTATGTGTTATTTCCAGCCATGTTCAGCTGCTTGGGTGCAGGCTGGAGAAGTCACTGTGGTGGGGTCTTCCCAGATGAATATGATGGAAGAGAAGGGCCGGGGAGTTGGTATATGCAAGGAGCTGATGATAATGATAGATCATTGAATCAAAGCTGGGTAAGGAGGGAAGGGTGGATGTGATGGGAGTAGGTGTTGCTGAAAAGGGGGTAGGATCAATGGATGAGAGACAGGGCTGTCTTATCCCTGGAGGCATAGTGCCGAAGGCCCACAATAGTTTTAGGGGCCCACAAAATATTTTAATTTTAATTTAGTTTAAAATCAGAAAAAAAAGTGAATATAATAAAAATGAATATATAATAATGGATCCAGCCTGGATTGTATTCATCCTGATACCAAGGTAATCATAAAATATAACTTTTAATATTCTCTCATAGAGGGAGGGGCCCATGAAGGCAAAGTGTCTAGTGACCCTTATGAGTGATCCCAGTGGATCCAAGTTCAATATTTGTTGAATTCATTTATAATGGCAAAAAAGTAAACATACCTAAGTATCCAGAATTGTTTGAGTCCAGGTACGACGGGCTGAAAAGATAGGAGTTGGTAATAGGAAAGTGTGATACTTAAAACTGAGATTATGGACTGTGTGAAGCAATTGGTAGTAACAAGGTTTGGGTGGGAACATCCTTCTCATTGGTGGAGAAGAAACCAAGGCGATGGGAAGCTGGTTTTATTGGTTATCTACTGCCATATTAACAACATCCCAAAACATAGTGGCTTAAAACACTCACCATTTATCTGTTCACCGACGATTTATCTGCTCATCCACCATTGATCTGGTAATATGGCTGTGCTCTGCTGAGCGGTTCTTCTCTTGGTCTTGCCAGGGCTCTCTCATGAGGCTGCAGTCAGCTGGAAGCTTGACTGGGGCTGGGTAACAGGACCTCATATGTGGTGGATGTTGCTCAGGGCATCTCAGTTCTCCTTCATGTGGCGTCTCATCTTCCAGCAGGCCAGACTGGACTTCTCTACATGATGTTGGAAGTTTTCTAAGAGGGCAAAGGAGAAGCTGCAAGAGCTCTTGAAGCCCAGACTCTGGGGACTTACACAGTGTCATTTCTGCCACATTCTGTTAGTCAAAACAAGTCCTAGGACCAGCCCAGATGCAAGGGGTTGAGAAACAGACTCCACCTCTTGTTGCAAGGAGCAGCAAAATCACTGCAAAGTGTCATGTGGGACAAGAGGAACTGGAGTGGTCATCTTTGCAAACAAACTATCGCACATGTTGGAAAAATTGTCTATGTGGTACCAAATCAGGCATCACCAAGAATTTGACAGAAGTGAGAGTGAAGAGAGTGACAAGCCAGGTGCTAAAATCTTCAAAGCATGAGGGAGTAGTAAGTGATACAATCTGATGCTATCAACTTCTAAAGCTTCAAGTATCTTTATTGTTTCATCAGTGAATGCGAGTGAATTTCATTAATGAAAAGGAACTCTTCATTTTTCACAACTTTGAGTCAGTCACTCATCAATTCAGACTCTATCTTAAGGAAGGAACCTAAAACATGGGGAAAAAATCTGTATGCAGGAAAATTTGTAGCACTTTTATTTATCTGGGAGCTGTAGCCCCAGTGCCTGCCCCAGTGCCTAGGATGATGTCTGGCATGGAGTAGTAACACATAGGTGCTCAGTAAATATTTGTTGAATGAATTTATAATGGCAAAAAGTAAATACAACCTAAGTATCCAATAATGAGGGCTAGGTTAAATTTGGGTGTATCTATTTCATAGACTATCATGCAGCCATAACAAAAATTATGATTTTAAGGACTATCAGTATATGATGAGGAGTAAAAAAAAAGCAGGATATAACATTACAGGTTCTGTGTAAAAACAGCTGGATAGGAAAAGGAGTCAAACAACAGCAGTGGTTTTATGAAGCAAATAGAATCATGAGTGATTTTTAACATTTTACTTTTTTTTTTTTTTTTTTTGCCACACCACGAGGCTTGTGGGATCTTAGTTCCCCAACCAGGGATTGAACCCGGGCCACGGCAGTGAAAGTGCCGAGTCCTAACCACTGGACCACCAGGGAATTCCCCAAATTTTTAGTTTATTCTAAAAGTTCTTTAATGTTACTGAATTTCTTTTAAGGGAAGAAAAAGTTGAACACATCCATTTTGGAAAGATGAGAAATGTTGAAAAGCAGCAATAAGAAAAAATAACCTATAACTCCATCATCCAGGAAAAAAAAATCACTGCCAACATTGAGACACATTCTGTTTTGCTTCTTGCTTTTTTTCCCCTTCACCTGACGTATTCTTAGCTTTTAAAAAAATATATCTTTAGACTTCCAAGAGGTGACTTTTAATAGTCACATAGCGTTGATATACCATAATCTATTTGACTTACAGTAATTTTGGACATGATAGGTTCTTTGCAATTTTTCAGTGAAAAAAATTAAAATAAATGGTCAGAGCCGTGGCATTACTCAACTCAAATTTAGAAAGCTCTTGAGGAAAGAGGTGATCAGAGTTCCAGGGAAGGTGGCTAAGAAGATAGGGTGGGTGTGGCTGTTCTGTCCAATGGAGAATGCAAGAAAAATTAGTCCAGCGGCTCCAACTTGTTGGGGGATGTCTGTGGGAAGCTGCTCTGCACGGGCTAGGACTCCTCCTTCCCATGTTTTGAACTTAAAGATCGTGAAATCTTTTTTTAAAATTATTTTTTACATTTTTCGCTGCATTGGGCCTTCGTCGCTGCATGCGGGCTTTCTCTAGTTGCGGCGAGCGGGGACTACTCTTCGTTGCAGTGCGCAGGTGTCTCATTGCGGTGGCTTCCCTTGTGGAACATGGGCTCTAGGTGTGCGGGCTTCAGTAGTTGTGGCACGCGGGCTCAGTAGTTGTGGCTCGCAGGCTCTAGAGCGCAGGCTCAGTAGTTGTGGCACACGGGCTTAGTTGCTCCATGGCATGTGGGATCTTCCCGGACCAGGGTTTGAACCCGTGTCCCCCTGCACCGCCAGGCGGATTCTCAACCACTGAACCACCAGGGAAGTCCAAAGTTGGTGAAATCTTGATTTGAAGGACTAGAGATGGACAATGGTGGTCCTGATCTCTGCCCTCTTGCCTTGTGCAAACAAGAAACGGTTTCCTGCCCTTGCCTCTGCCTTGAACAGATATCTCTGAGCCATTAGCCTGGAGGGATAGAGCTCCCTCACTCCCCCTACATAACTCTCTCAGTCTGAGCTCTGGGTTTGGGGCAGTCGATGATTAGCCTGAGGTCAAGAATGGATGTTTTCCGGGGTACACAGGTGGGAACTTGGGGGGCACATTTACAAAGTCAGGGGCGTTCCCAGTTCAGAGAAGCTTCCCAGTAGTGGTCACGAAAGTAGTGGGGTAGGAAAGACAGACGTGACGGAAGGAGGGATGGAGGGGGTGGGTGAGTGGGCCAGGCTAATACTTAGACACGGATCGATCCTGGAAGGTTGTGGTTGGCAATGAGGGGGGAAAGAAGCGGACGGGGCGGAGGAGGAGGGGAGCAGACAGATTAAGCAGGTGATGTAGGATTTACAAATGGAGGAGGCGTGGGCTGGTGACAGGAGGAGGGCCAGGAGCGGCAAGTATGCCCTGAACGTGCATGGGATATATATGAGAAGCGTGATGGGAAGTGGGCTGGTGAGAGCAGAGGTGGGGCGTGGGGTGAGCAGTGCGGGTCACGAAAGCGGAGATGTGAGATGGAGAATAACGGCTGTGCACATTTGGCCGACCCTTTACAGTCTGCTCCCATTTAGACTCCCATAATTTCCTCCTCCCATCAGGGAGAGCGAGGTGCGGAGAGGTCGGGCGGCTGCGGAGGGTGGGGTCCCAGGAGAGCGCGAGGCCCAGAGGAAGGGTGAGCGCCGGGGCGGGGGTGCGCGGTGCGTCGCCGGGGGTGGGCGCCGGGCGCGGGCGGGTGTGGGGCGGGCCGGCTACGGGCCGGGAGGGGAGGGGGGAGGCGGGCTCCGCCGGCACACGCCGCGCCTGGCAGGCGGCCTGAGCGCGTGCGAAGAGCCGCCGCCGCCGCCGCCGCCGCCGCCGCCGCCGCCGCCGCTCGGGGTCGCCTTGAGCCCCAGATTCCCCAGCGCTGGCTCGCATGGCAGCCGCCTGGGCGCCCGGCCCCGCGACCCGCTAAGGGCGGTCCAGCGCCCCGGCCCAGCCCTTCAGCTGAGTCCGTCGGATCCGGCCTCACTCTGCGCCCCGGGGCGCGCCGCCTCCCAGCCCGAGGTGAGGACCGCGAGGGCAGGGGCGCGCTGGGCTGGGGGCGTTCTGGGGTGCCCAGGCCCCGCGCCGCGGCCGAGCCGAGTGCCGTGGAGGTAGGAAGGGGATGCGGGAGCAAGTCCTGCGGGGAGTCGGAGGTGGGGGGCAGAGACTGCTCGCTGCCGGGAACCAGCCCCCTAGTCGCCCCCGTGCTCGAGGACGCCCCTCGGCGCTGTTCCCTGTCCCTCTCCGTCCGATTGCGTTCCCCGGCCCTTCCAGTGTCCTGACCTCGCTCTGCGCTGCCCATCTTTCAACTCCTTCCTACAGAGCCCCCTCCCGGTTCCTGTCTCCAATCCCCTCGTCTGCTCAGACCTTCCCAACCCCGCCCTCCGCTGCCCCCACCGCTTTTTTCTGTCTGGATGCCCCTCTCCCCTCTCGGCTCGTTATCACTCGGAACCGGAATCTGTGCCGCTATCTCCGCGTCCGGCCGCCTCCCAGCCTGTGCCGTCCCACAGGTGTCCGCACGTCTGGCGGTCCGTCTGTCCCTCCTGGGGCCGGGGCTGACCATGCCCAGCGGCTGCCGCTGCCTACATCTCGTGTGCCTGTTGTGCATCCTGGGGGCACCCGTAAAGCCTGCCCGAGGTGAGCGCTCCCCTGGGCTCAGGTCGCGGCCCTGTCCGGCTGTCCCTCGCTTGCACGTTGACCTCTGCCGGCCAGAGATGGCACTGCAGGCGCTCCGACCCGCGGGGTTGGCGACACCCAGGACATCCCTTTGGAATGGGATGAGTCTCTGTTCTGCCCTGTCCCAGAGCTGAGTCCACCCAATTACTGGGACCCTGCATCCTCTCCCTAGCCCCGCATCTCAGGCAGCTGAGCGCTGACCCCGGGCTCACCCCTCTCACATCAATCTCTTTCAGCTGATGACTGCAGCTCCCACTGTGACCTGGCCCACGGCTGCTGTGCGCCTGATGGCTCCTGCAGGTACCTCTCCGAGCACGTGCTCCCAAACGCTGTGCTCCACATTTCCCGGGCCTCCACACCCACAACCAGCTCAAGCCCCAGAGCAGAATGTCTAGGGGCTTAAGACTCTACTGCTCTCTCCCCATCCCCTCGTGCACATGGCACACAGGGCAGAAGGCCAGCCCTTCACCCTGTGCTTACTCCTCCCCAGTTCCCCTTTGCCTTGCCTCTCCTTTGCTTCTTCTAGCTTACGGCTCCCCACTTCACTCTCCCAACCAGGCATTCTGCAACATTCCTCTTCAAGATACCAGGAGAAAGACCCGAAGCTTGAGGGAGTGTGGAGAGTGGGAGCCATAAGGAAAAGGGGAGATAAAGGAAAGACATAAATATAATTGGTTTAGCCTGGAAAAGAAAGGCTGTTGCAAGGGTTGCTGCGGGGAAGCGCTTACGAGAGTCTTTTCTGATGAATTTGAGTAATTGACTCAGTGGGGTGGGGCTGGGCAAATTCTGCAGCAGGAGGAAAGGAGTGTCTGGTCATAAGGAAATGAGCTGACAGGGCAAGGTCCTGAGGGTGCTTGGGACTCTCTGAAGTAGAGCAGGCCTTTGCCCTGGAATCAGGGTAGGAAGATAGTCCTGATGCCCTTTCAAGGTCACTCTTTTTTAAAAAAACGTTTCTAGGCACCTCAGACATGCCAGGAGTTGTGCTGGGGGCACTTACAGACATCATCGTAATTTCCTCCTCCACACATCCCTGCCAGGTGTATCCCTAGTTTACAGGTGAAAAAAACTGAGGCTCAGAAAGGTTAGACAAAGTGCAGAACCAGGACTTGAATGCTGGTGTCTGATGGTCTGATACCATATATGTGTCCCGTGACCTTGCACAGCCCTATATCGACCTGGGATAGGCCTGCTTTCACTTGGGGGCTGTCACATTTGTCTGTTTCCTAGAAGCTCTGATCTTGCCTCCTCCATTTCTTCACATCCTTCTACCCAGAGCCCTGACCCTGTGCTTCTCCCCATCAGGTGTGACCCGGGCTGGGAGGGGCTGCACTGTGAGCGCTGTGTGAGGATGCCTGGCTGCCAGCATGGTACCTGCCACCAGCCCTGGCAGTGCATCTGTCACAGTGGCTGGGCAGGCAAGTTCTGTGACAAAGGTAGGGGAGTAGAGAGGGTAGCTGTTGTTTGGGGACCCCATGTGTCTTGGGAGAACGTCCATCCTTATTTATTGAGCACCTCTTGTGTCTGGCTCAAACCCGAAAATATATGGTAGCTTATAATTTTAGACTTTATACCTATCTGTCGTCTGAACTGGTCCTAAACACAACCCTATGTGGTAGGCAAGACACCTGCGGAAAACTGTACTCATATCACAGATGAGGAAACTGAGATCTACAGACAAGATACAACTTGCCCAAAGGCACTTTGAGACAGACTAACAGGGCCAGGGCTGAGTGCCTCCCGACTCCAAATTCAGTGTTGTTGTTTTCCCCCACTACACTGTACCAGCCCAGGCTGGGATTGTAGTATGAGCCACGCCCACAGAACTTTGGGTGGGGCCTGGGCAGGTCTGGGTGCCAGACATGAGGGGCTAACCCCGAGCCCTCCTGGTCTCCTCTCCAGATGAGCACATCTGTACCACACAGTCCCCCTGCCGGAACGGAGGCCAGTGCGTATATGACGGGGGCGGCAAGTACCACTGTGTGTGCCCACCGGGCTTCCACGGGCGTGACTGTGAGCGCAAGGCCGGACCCTGTGAGCAGGCAGGGTGAGTGCTGGCCCCAGGTTAGATGAGGATCTGGTGAGGGAGGAGAGAGGACTGTTGAGAGGATGGTGGGGCAGCGTTAGGGCTGACGGTCAGAAGTCCCACACGGGGGTACTCAAAGATAAAACCCAGTCTGTCAGAGTATCTGTAGGGTTTCTCAACTTTTTTGGTACCATGTGAACCATTTCTCCAACAACAAAAATCTACAGGGGCTGGAGGTGTAACACATCAGTGTGTGACTCCCCTGGGTGGGGAGGCTGAGGGCCTAGGACTCCCCTCATCCTCCCAGGAAGGGTGGCACGCGGCCCCTAAAGTTGTTCCACGCAGCAGCCTGATGCCTCGTGGTGAATGGGGAAATGGCCTACAGGTCTGGACTCTTCCTCATTTCCAGGTCAAGCCTGAGAGCCTGCGTGGATAATAACTGTACACTTGCCTTGAGCCTTGCTTTGGGGCCAGGCCCTCTGCTACTTGCTTGACCCTGGATTATCTCATCTAACCCTTACCATTTGGGAAGCTGGGAACTGCTCTTATCCCATTTTTATTTTTTAAAAATACTTATTTATTTTAAAATTTCTTCTAACACTTTTATTTATTTATTTGTTGGCCGTGCTGTGCAGCTTGTGGGATCTTAGTTCCTCAACCAGGGATCGAACGCAGGCCCTTGGCAGTGAAAGCACAGTCCTAACCACTGGATCGCCAGGGAATTCCTCTAATCCTAGTTTTAAAATGAGGCATTTGAGGCTCACAGAAAAGTGGCTCAAGGTGACATAGCTAGAAGGGGGGTGGTAGTGGTGGCAGTGATCAGGATGTCGACCCGGGCTACCCTGCAGATGGCAGTCGGTAAAATGCCCTCTCCCACCCCACTCAGCTCCCCGTGCCGGAATGGCGGGCAGTGCCAGGACGACCAGGGCTTCGCCCTCAACTTCACATGCCGCTGCTTGGCGGGCTTTGTGGGGGCCCGCTGTGAGGTGAACGTGGACGACTGTCTGATGCGGCCTTGTGCTAACGGCGCCACCTGCCTGGACGGCATCAACCGCTTCTCCTGCCTCTGCCCTGAGGGCTTTGCTGGGCGCTTCTGCACCATCAACCTGGATGACTGTGCCAGCCACCCATGCCAGAGAGGGGCCCGCTGTCGGGACCGGGTCCACGACTTTGACTGTCTCTGCCCAAGTGGCTATGGTGGCAAGACTTGTGAGCTAGTCTTACCTGTCCCAGATCCCGCCACCATAGCGGACATCCCCCGGGGGCCCACCTTGGCTGTGGTGGTACCTGCCACGGGGCCTGTTCCCCACAGCGGGGGCGCCGGTCTGCTGCGCATCTCCGTGAAGGAGGTAGTGCGGAGGCAAGAGGCCAGGCTGGGCGAGTCCAGCCTGGTGGCCGTGGTGCTGTTTGGGGCTGTCACTGCCACTCTGGTCCTGTCCACGGTGTTGCTGACCCTGAGGGCCTGGCGCCGGGGTGTCTGCCCCCCTGGACCCTGTTGCTACTCTGCCCCACACTATGCCCCGGCGCACCAGGACCAGGAGTGTCAGGTTAGCATGCTGTCAGCAGGGCTCCCCCTGCCGCCTGACTTGCCCCCTGAGCCTGGGAAGACCACAGCACTGTGATGGAGGTGGGGGCTTTCCTGCCCCCTCCTTCGTCTCCTCTGCCGCTCAGAGTGGATTGGCCCTTTCTCGCCACCCCTCAGCTGGGATACCCAACACTGAGGGACCTCAGCCTCATGCCAGAAATATTATTTTTTTAATACAGAGTGTAAGATGGAACTTTATCAAATAAAACTATGGAAGTGCACGTGGGCTCCTTTGTCAGAAAAAACCCGCCTGGAGTCCCAGATGCAAGAGGGCCAGAGCAGAGGCCTGCTTCTGGGGAAGCCGCGGGACTCTGCCCCCGAGAAGGAGTGGTTTGTAAAGAGGAGCCCAGGGTACCCTATTCCCCTCTGCGGAGGTGAGAGAGAGGTAGAGCCACAGAAGGGTGTAAACAGCGGCAGGCCCCCCGTACCAGGCAGCAGTGGGTAGCACAGAGGGAGGCCCTGTGGGCAGGGACGCGGGGCCCTCAGGGAGAGGAGCGGGCTCCCTGCTGGCTGCTCTGCAGCAGCTGCTGGAACAGCGAGTGGGGCTGGCTGCGCAGGACGGCGGGGGAGTCCAGCTCCGCCACCCTCCCGGCTTGCAGCACCAACACCCGGTCTGAGTTCAGGATCGTGTTGAGCCTGCGTGGGAGAGGGTGGTCAGCGTGGGGATGGAGGACGACGCCCTAGAGAAAGTTGACCTGCTTTCCCTCCTCTTCTCCTCTGGACAGCACCAGCCTGCCCCACAGGCTTCAGCCCCTGGCTCTGTGCCAGGGGAGGGGCTGCAGGCTCCCTCAGACAATGCGCTACAAAGGGCCTGGGTTGGTGCCTGGAGAACACGGAGCTGAGATTCATGGAGGTTGGAATCTCTGGAGCCCTGACCCCTGGGGTTTCTGAAAGGAAGGGAGGCTATGGGTCCATGACACCTTAGCCCCTGGTTAGATTCTCACTCTGGATGCCTACACACCTGTGGGCGATGGTCAGCACTGTCTTGCTGGCAAAGCGTTTACAGATGGTCTGCTGGAGCAGCTGGTCTGTCTTCTGGTCCACGCTTGCTGTGGCCTCGTCGATACACAAGATCTGGACCATGTGGAGAGGATGAGCAGGGAGGAGGGAGAAGAGGGTCAGCCGTGGCTGCTACATAAGCCCCAGCCCCCGCCTCCCGGTCTGGCGCAGGCCAGCCCACAGCTCCCCACCTCCAGCTCTAAAAGAAACGCTAACTAGGTCCCTTGAGACCTCTCCCCAGTCCACTTCCTCACCCCCCACCCCTCACACGTCCCCTGCCTTCTTCCTGGCCCTCTCGAATGTCCCTTCCTCTTGTCTTACCTTGGCATCTGTGAGGAGAGCCCTGGCCAGACACAGCAGCTGCCTCTGCCCCAGAGATAAGCTCCGGCCCCCCTCGCCCAGCTCGCCATCCAGACCACCTGCGAAGCGCAGCATCTTCATCCCTGAGTTCTGAGCCTCCCTCAACCCCCTCCCTGCTCACTCCTGCCACCATGCAGGACAGGACCTAGAACTCACCCATAGATATGATCACCTCACTCAGGTGGCACTGCTCCAGGGCCTGCCACAGGGCCCTGTCCTCGTACAGACCCCGGGGGTCCAGGTTTTCCCGAACACTTCCACTGAACAAAAAGGGCTCTTGGGGGATGATTGCCAGCTGGGATCTGGGGGATGAGGACGGGACAGGACATGGGGGTCTTGGCTGGAGATGTGGCCACTTCTGCTCCCAGCACAGGTTTTAGCTATAGGTCCAGCCCTTCAGAAAAGCTTGGGGATAAGACCTGAACGTAACCCCCGTCCTGTTCCCCGCTTGGTCAGCCATGTACCTAGAACTGTGCCAGTGCTATGAGGAATACCAAAGGAACCAAAGGCCTAGACTCTGCCCTTAAGGAGCTTACATCTCACTGAGGGGCAAAACAGAACAAGCCCGAGCTAAACCGTATGGTACTGACTCCCATCACGGGACAGCAGTGGATGGCAAAGAATGACCAGAGGGGACCAAGGAATGACTGGGTAGGGGATGCTTCAAGGTTGGAAGCGGGCCTGAAATTGGGTCCTGAGGAGCCATATGGTCAACCTATGGCCACCACAGGTTAGAAGAGAAGGCAGGAAGGCCAGGGCCAGGGCCTGGGATCAGTAATGGGCTTTAGGACAGAGCATCCCTACCTTTTTCCGCATCATGGAACTCAGAAAAAATGATACTAGGGCAACGTGGTTGGGAGGCGTGTTTAGCTCCAGGTGAGACCCCTTGTGGCCAGAGGAAACTGGCCCAGGTCTCCAGCTGTCCCAAGCACCGCCTGCCAAGCCTGAGGTCACAGCACCTGGGAGGCTCTGACTCAGGAGGCAGTGACTGGTGGTCTAGAGCGGAAGGTGTATGCTGGGAAGTACAAGGTGAACCTGGGAAGGTGAAAACCTTAGGACCACAGCTATGAACCCCGACCTGAGCACTGGCAGCTCACTATCCTCGCCTGCGTGTCCCATCCTCCGTCTCACCTGATCAACCCTGTCTGCCCTGAGTTGATATAAAGCCTTCCTAACTGGGCCTTCCTCTAAGTGCCAGTAGTCTGGTCCCCTCTCCTCCCTCCCCCAGACCTGAGCTCGGCCAGCTCCAGCTGGCTGGTGTCCACGCCGTCCAGCAGCACTCGCCCGGAACTGGGCTCTAGCAGCCGAAAGAGCACCAACAACAGGGAAGACTTGCCAGAGCCCGTGCGGCCCACGATGCCCAGCTTCTCTCCAGGCTGCACGTAGAAGGTCACCCCATCCAGGGCATTGGGCAGCCCTGGCCGGTACACCAACACCACATCCTGGAACTCCACGCTCCCCTGGCTCAGCCAGCCAATGCCCAGCTGGTGGGGTCCGTGGGTGGGAGAGGGAGGGAGATGGGTGAGACGGGGAGGAATGAGGAGAGTGGAAGGGAGAGGACTGAGGGATGGATGCCCTGAGAGGAGAGGTGGGGGAAACGAGGAGTGATGGGGGGATGGACACAAAAATCAGGGAGATCACAGGGGACGGTACAGGAGCAGAGAAAAAATGGTGAGGGGCACAAGGAAAGGAACTGGGGGAGAGACTGGGGCTGTCAGGAGGATCCTTCAGGGTTCTAGCACCCAGGCTGGGGTGAGGGCGCAGGCTACCTGCGGCCGCTGGCCCTGGGGCTCCTGGGGCAGGTCACAGGAGTATTCCTCCAGCCGCTCGACGCTCACCATCATGGCTTCTGTCTGTGTGAAGCTGCTCACCAAGCCGGAGAGCAGGCCCGTCAGGGACAGGGCATAGGACAGTGACAGGCCCACGAGTCCTGGGGGAAGGGAACACAATTGCCAGGGGAGGCTTGGACGCTGGGATGTGTGTGGGGATGGCTGGGAAGAACGGGCGAACCCTGAGCTGTGGACCGTGGACATTTAGAGGAAGCTGGTACTGACGGAAGAAGATGCAGGAGCCAGCCCAGGCCCACAGGAGGCTGGCTGCAACAGAGTGGAAAGGCTACGAGGGACGACGGGTGGAAGGCAGGTGGGCTAGGGCCAGTTGCTAAGTGCTGAGGACGGGTGAGCAGGGAGGGGCGGAGATCAGAAGACTTGACTAGTCCCAGATCCACGACCACCAGGGTGAGTGACTCCTTGAGACTCAGTTTCCTCAACTCTAAAATGCGGGTGATGAGAATTACAACACATCCTCACAGGGAACCCCGGCTGGGAGGTGAAAATGCTTGGGGCTGTAGGGGCAGTGCAGGGAGAGGTCTGGGGCAGGTGCTGGGAATAACACACTTCTGAGGTGAGAGTGAAGGGTCCCGGGGCGGCACCTGGGTTGGCGAGGCCCTGCTGGTGCTGCACCAGGGCGATGCCTGCGATGGCGCTGACCACTGCAGCCCCCATTAACTGTAGCCGAATGTCCAGCCACTGCATCGTGGCGCTGGCAGCAAACTGGCACCTCTGGTTTAGCTCCAGGAGTCTCTGGTTCTCCTCCTCAAACCTGGGGGAAGCCACGCCACAGCTGCACGGACCTGCCCAGACGCCCTGCCCGTAGGATGCCTCCTGCTCGGAGCTGACCTGCACGCCCACAGGCTGCACCTCAGTGGTACGGAGGAGCCAATGTGCTCTCTCGTAGGGGTCTGCTCAGCGTCACTCTCCCCCTTTTCTGTTTCTTTCCTCTTCCCCCTATGCCCTCACCCACCCTTCCCTTCTCAGGAGACTGAGACCCGACCCCCTTCTTCTCAGGGGTCCCCCCTCCCCCCAGCACCTCACCCCCCTCGCACTGGTTAGAGGAGGCAGACCTCACACACCTGTAGGTGGTCCCAGTGGCCCGGAGCACAGGGAGGCCCGCCAAGGTGTCAGCCAGGTGGGTGTAGAGAGGAGACAGGGTGAGGCTGCCCAGGCGCCGCAGCTCCCTCGAGGAGGCCCTGTAGTGGCGCTGCACGCGGTAGTGGATGAGGCTCAAAGGCGGCAGCAGCAGCAGCAGCCAGGGCAGGCCAGAGCCCAGCACAGCCAGGAGGCCCAGCAGGCCTGCCGCGTTGGCCAGGAGGATGTTGAGTATGAAGGGCAGGCTGTCATCCGCACAGGCCACGTCGGAGGAAAAGCGGTTGAGGACCCGGCCCGTGGGCGTGGAGTCGAAGAAAGTCACCGGCGCCTGGGAGGAGGGGTGTGGGTGGGCCAGGGCAGGGGTCAGCGGAGAAGCCATGGAGGCAGCCCCTGGGGGAGGTGGGCTGGGGGGAAAGGCCCAAGGTAGAGAAGAGGAAAGGAGTAAAGTGTCCCCAGAGTTTGGGGGCACTGAGGCGGGGCTGGAGGAGCTTAGAGGAAGAATACCCCAGGTGGGAAAGAGACAGTCTCTCCCATCCCTCTGGCTAGCGGGGGCCCTGAGAGGCCAGGCGGGCCACCCCTCTACTTCTGTGCTAGGCGTGCCTACCCCCCTTTCAAGGGCAGGTAGCTAATCTCTTTCCAGAAGATGGAGTCTTCAGGCCATGAGTGAGATTTAGTTAGACGTTAGGAGGAACATCCTGATTGCCTGTGGCGGGACAGAGTGGTGAGGGCGGCAGTCAAAGTCCACACTGTCCCATGGTCAAGCGCGCAGGCTCTGGAGTCAGACTGCTTCTTGGATTCCAGCCCTGCCACTTACCAGATGTGAGACCCCATGTAAGAGGGCTTCATCTCCTCCAGGCCCCTGTCCCTCATCTCAAAAAGGGGGATAGTAATGAAACTGTACCTCCCGGGGCTGACAGCAGGACTAAAGCCACAGA